CATAGTCATGACTTGAATAATGGGAGACAGGATAGAAATGGAAATGATAGATCAGACTGCATTACAGATACAATGACTAGAGAGTATAGAATGAGGTGGAGGTTAGAGGGTGAATGTAAACTAATTTGGTATATGTGGATTCTTTATGATTTGTTTTTAAAAATAAAAATTGTTTCCTATAACCAAATAGATTTGATTAATCTGAATTTTGTTTTTAACTCAAGAATTTAACTCATAATTTTATTGTTATAAAATCCTATGAGCTTGGCTTATTTTCCTTCATATATTTTACATTGCTTAATTTGATGAATTAATTTCATTCTTAGGGAAATGGATTATTATTGTAGTTTACTGCTTAGTGAGTGCATTCTTTTTCTTTTAAAAAGTGTTAAGATGCATTGTATATAAGTTACCAAAATGTAGAATTTTCAGATCATATGCCATTGTTTCCCTGTTAGGACTCAAAATAATTTTTATTTATTTGAAACTTTCTACTGTTGACCATAATTTGATAAATTCTTTCCTCCCAGTAATTCTTTTTCTGTCTGGAAATGTGAATTTAAAAAGATGTGGTTTTGAGACAGCCTCATTGTATGCCAACCTGGGAACTCATGATCCCTGCTTTATAGCTCTGTAATAAATGCCTGGAGTACAGGTCTTTGCTGCGGTGCCTGGCTTAGAACATTTTTTTTTTAATTATTGAAATTCAAAATAAGTTCATCACCTTTGTGTTATATGTTATAGCATATCTCCAATTTATAGATATTTAAGCTATAGTCTAATAATTTGAATGACTTGTCTGGTTTACACAAGTAGAATGAGTTCAGAAACAGATTGGATAGACTTCTTCACTCTCTTATTTCATTACCACTTGAAAACAGATGTTAATTTAAACAATAAATCATTACCATTTATATTCTTTTAAGTGGCAGCACTCAATTCTTTTTATATTTTTTAAACCAAAGTGTGCGTGCACATGTGTGTGTGTGTGTGTCTGTCTGTGTCTGTCTTTTGAGAGAGAGCGAGAGCGAGAGCGAGAGCGAGAGCGAGAGCGAGAGAGAGAGAGAGAGAGAGAGAGAGAGAGAGAGAGAGAGAAAGAGAAAGAGAAAGAGAAAGCGAGCGCGAGCGCTTGACTTTGTAGTTTATACTGGTCTTGAACTCATGATAGTCTGTCTGCCTGCTTCAACTTGAGTGCTGTGATTTACAGGTTTGAGCCACTAGGCCTAGCTTTATACTGTTTTCTAAATGTGAATTTTCTTTAATTAATAGTCTCTCTGCTCTTTATTTACATGTTGTGTATTCCCGAGTTTGATATATGGAATTTTCCAAAATTGCTTTTTCTTTTTTTTTCCTTTTTAACTTTTTGAAGTAGAGCTTCTCAGAGGACCCTAAAGCTTTCTAGGGAGCCAGCTTGCTATGTCCATGCTTGTCTCCTCCTTCCCATGTGGAATTACATGAAGCTTGCCATGGCCACTCCACATTTATGTGGGTTCTAGGGATCTGAACTCCTGTCCCTATGCTATTCTAACAGGCAATTTAACTGTTGAGCCTTCTCCCACTTTTTCCCCCAAGCAAATTTAAATTGCTTAGATAGTACCAAGAAAATAGTGAAGTGTGAGAAAATAAAAATTTCATAATTCCCTAATTACAAGATTGTTACTATTTCCTAGGATAAAACAGTTTTACAGTCCTGTGAATGACAGTCTGAAGATAGCTAGTAGAATCATTGTGGCAATATAATGTCTGTGTTTTAAGAGTGTAAGAAGGATTCTACAAATGGTAATGTCCTTTTTGCTGTCTAACTTATTTCTTAACTTAGAATATTCTCTCCCATTATAGCTGGTATGGTCATTTGTTTTCACACTTCCCATTTTACCACCTTTATTTGGGAGAAAATATACCCCCATAGTCAATAAAAAAATGCTTTAAACTGAGTGATTCATACTTTGTTTTTGTTTCATGACAGTTTTTTTCCAGGATCCCTGAGTTGGACTAAATTAGAGTACATATAGAAAACTTCAATTATAGGCGATTTAAATTGACAGGAAATCCAGTTTCTAATTCAAAATAGATTTTCCTTCTGAAATGAAAGAGCAGTCTTTGTTATTGTATCTTAGTAAAATTATTCCCATTCCTCTTTACACTGATAATTCTCTTTGTGTTTTGTAGGCTGTGACAGTGAGAAACTCTATGGCTAAGTCTTTATATAGTGCTCTGTTTGACTGGATAGTGTTTCGTATTAATCATGCACTTCTGAATAGTAAAGATTTGGAACACGATACCAAGGTAAAGATCTGTTGTATTATATTTTACCTGAAAACTGTTCAATGAACTGGTGAGTACTTGAAATTTTAAGGAATAGAATTATATAGAGTCAAATCAACTTTAATTCTGTTACTCGTTTGCCTATTCTGGTTAACTGTTCTGTCTTTCCATAACCATTTCCCTATATATTTATATGCTATGGACATTTATATACAACATTGATCTTAAAAATAGAAATAGAAACAGAATCAAGCTTTATGTTGTTTCAGTGTTTGCTTTTTATATAAAAATCTCTTAAATAGATTCTTATAAAATACGTTTTCAAATAAAATTTCTTAAACTATGTCATTATATATTTTTAATAATTGTGTAATATTATTTGGCGTGGTAGCATATGCCTTTAATCCCAGTACTTGGGAGGCAGAGGCAGGTGAATCTCTTGTGTTTGAGGTCAGTCTGATCACCTGACGAGAGAGTTACAGGACAGCCAGGTCTACATGAAGAAACCCTGTCTTGGGGGAAAAAAAAAACCCCAAAACAAAAATTGTAACATTTAGTGTGATTTGTGCCTTAGATGATCTCACTGCAAGTAAATATTTTTGTTCTATCCTGAACAATACTGAAATATAGTTTTTTGAGACAGAGTGCTACTGTATAGCCAGGCTGTTCTTGAACTTGAGATCTTAATATGCTTGACTGATAGGTGCTTGGGGTTACAGATGTACTTCACTGTGTTCCAATATGGATATTCTTTCACTGACCTTTGTGCACTTCTCTGTAGTATAAATTCAGTTTATTATTCCTGGGTTTAAGGATGTACATATTTTAAAGATTTGTTATCTGTTGCTTTCTCAAAAGTACTGTATACTTCTACCAGTGGTCTGTAGTTCCTTTTTTCTCTGAACTTTTATCCAAATTGTATATTATCAGTATTTATATTTTCTAATATATAAGAAATTATCCTCCTCTCCCATTTTTTGCCATTCTTTTTAAGAATGAAAGCTAAAACATCTTGTCATGCTTTTCTTAATCTTGTTTCTCCTCTGTATTATTTATTTGTATCTTAGTTTTGCTTTATTTTCTTTCTACTTTTCCTTTTTAAGAGCTGTTGTGGACATTTTAGAGATTTAGTTTGATGCCTTACTGCAGATATTTTCTCTCTTAGTTACTTTTTAATATTCATGCTATAAGTTTTTATGCATCTGTTTCTGCCATTCTTTTATAATCTTTCATTTATATATTTACTTATGTAGAAAGGTATGTTCTAGTCCAAGTTTATAAAATATGTAATATTCTACTTTTAGAATTTAAATTTGGCTGGGCGGTGGTAGTGCACGCCTTTAATCCCAGCACTGGGAGGCAGAGGCAGGCAGATCTCTGTGTTTAATACCAGCCTGGGCTACAGAGTGAGTTCCAGGACAGGCTCCAAAGCTACACAGAGAAACCCTGTCTTAAAAAACAAAACAAAAAAAACAAAAAAACAACAACAAAAAAAGAATTTTATTTTGTTTTCAAATTGAAACTTTGTTTGCTTGGGTTTTGTTTTATTTTTTGAGACAGGGTTTGTCTACATAGCCTTGGATGTCCTCACTATGTAGGCCTGCCCAGCCTCAAACTGATAGATCTACCTTCTTTTGTCTCCTGAGTACTAGGATTAAAGGCATGTGCCATCATGCTCTGCCTTTTGTTTGTTTGTACTTTTAGGATGTCGCAGGATATTGCAATTTAGGCATGACCTGACCATTCCTCTGCTTCCTCTTGAGTTGTAATTATAGGTGTATGCTACCACGCCCACCTCTGGACCTTATTTTAATGTGACAGATTATATATATAAAGCTTTAATAATTTTAGATTCATTTTACTTTTTAATAGCCATTATGGTCCTGTTTACTTACTCTGATGAAAAGTGTAATCTTTTTTTTTTAATCCTACTGATTCAATGTAAAAATATTATTTTTTAAAAATAATTTATTTTTGTGTAAATTGGTGTTTTGCCTACATGTATGTCTGTATGAGGGTGTTGGATCCCCTGGAAGTGGAGTTACAGACAGTTGTAAGCTGCATGTGGGGCCTGGGAATTGAACCCAGGTCCTCTGGAAGAGCAGCCCACTTTTTTTAACTGCTGAGCCATCTCTCTAGTCCGTAAAATCATTCTTACATTTGTTTTTATATTTCAACTAATTCCATAACTATAAAATTAAATCTGGCCAGGTGGTGGTGGTGAATGCTTTTAATCCCAGTACTTGGGAGGCAGAGTCAGGTGGATCTCTGTGAGTTCAAGGCCAGATTGGTCTACAGATTGAGATCCAGGACAGGCACCAAAACTACACAGAGAAAACCCTGTCTTGAAAAACAAAACAAAAAAATTAAATCTGAATCTTGTTGTCAGATGTATTTATTTGTGAAGTGCATTATTTCATTTTCTTCTAAGTGACTAGAATTTTAGTAGCCAGAATTATATAAAACCCCTTTTTTTTTTTTTTTTTTTTTTTTTTGAGACAGGGTTTCTCTATAGCTTTGGAGCTTTCCCTGGAACTCACTCTGTAGCCCAGGCGGGCCTTGAACTCACAGAGATCCTCCTGCCTCTGCCTCCCATGTGCTGGGATTAAAGGCATGCCGCCACCGCTGCCACCACCACTACCACCACCACCACCACCACCACCACCCGACTTCATAAAACCCTCTTGATACAGATTTCAAAACGTCTTCTATGTACATCATATTAGTTTACTTACTGTGTCTCAGCACCAGTGGAGAAATTTTCCCATTTAATCAAGAGTGTTATATCTCATGTTAGAATGAGATTGAGTTTGGGGTTGTATTACATGCTTGTAATCCAGGGGTGCAGGGTAGGAGGGAGAAAAAGATGGAATGGTTCGTTAGTTTTATTTTGTTGTTATTATAAATAAAATATCTGACAAGTGTAACTTAAGGACACTTTATTTTGAATCACATTATGAGGATATAGCCCTCCATCATGGATAATCCATGCCAGCAAGGGCTTGAGGTGGCTTGTTGCATCTTATCTATAGAATGGAAGCAGAAAGAGATGGATTCTGTCTTTCATCTCTCTCTCTTCATTGTATTCAGCCTGGGACACCACCCATATGTCCCCATACCCCAGCCAATGGAATAGTGCTGCCCACATTCAAGGTGGGTCTACCTTCAGTTAAACTCTCTGGAAATGCCCTCACAGATATGATCTGAGATTTTTCTCTTAGGAGGTTCTGGATTCGGTCAAGTTGGCAGTGAATATTAATAATCAAACTTGGTAACAGATATTATAGTTGAATCTGAATCATTCATAGTAAGATGTTACAGAGATAATTCCTAGAAGTCAAATATCCAGAAAGAGAATAGTAGACATGTTCTCTACTAAATAGCTAGTATTTGAGTGTTGTTGCAGACATTGAACATGAGGAAATTTATTGGTTTGTTCTTCTTTGGTGGGTAGGGGGTTAGGGTGGGATTTAATTACTTTTTAAACATTCATTTATTTGTTTATTTATGTATTTGACAAAATCTCCCTGTGAAGCCCATGCTGGCCTTAGCCTCACATTCCTCCTGCCTCTACCTCTAGAGTGCTTTTTTTCTTTACATTTGTTTATTTATTTTGTGTTCGTGTTTATCTGGAGGACAACTTCTGGGAGTCAGTTTTCCCATTCTAGTAGGTGGTTTCTGCAGCTAGAATTCAGCTTGTCAGGTTTGATGTCAAGTGCCTTTAGCTCCTGAGCTACCTTGTATGCCTGCCAATTTAGTACTGAAAGCATAATTGTTTATTTGGGGTTGAGATCTAATTAAGAAGAATTACATAGTTCTTTCATAACCAGAAATAACTTTATTTGCTGATCTTTCACTTAGGTAACATTTTGATTTTCTCATACCTGTTGTTTCTGTTCCCTCATAGGACTTAAGAATGTTTGAGTTGAGGGATTTCTTGGCTTTTTCAAGTTAAGATAATAGTTCACTCGCCTTATACTTTGTGTATTTTGAAATTGTAATGCAGAAATTACTTGTGTTCAAATTTGTATTATTAAAGAAATATTTACAATGAAAAAAGCCTACTTTAGTTAATTTACCTACTAACCTTAAGACCCCAAATGTGAGTTCTTGGATAGTTGCAAATGTACACACACACTGCTTATTGGTGAGTTAAGGTGACATCTCTCTCCTCCCACTCACATCTCTATCAGTTCTTGGTAACTAACTGCTAGTTTAAAAGTTGAGGAAAACTCTTAAACACTGATGTAAATTGCCATAAGATAACCCCTGTAACAGGAAAATATAGGTTGCTCTGATTGATTGCCATTTTACATTTTTACCATCTGCTGCAAGTTCATTTTCTTAAAAATCCATTCAGTTTCATGTCCAGTGTTCAATAAATATCCATGTATTAAAAATATTTCTAACAAATTATGTGGTATTATTACAGATATATTCCTAAATGTATGTGTGCATGTATGTGGGTATATGTGTATATTCATATGTCTGATGCTCACAAAGGCCAGTAGTGTCAAAAATCCCTGAAGTGGGAATCACTGATGGTTGTCAGACACTTGATGTGGGTGCAGGGAACTGAAAGTGGGTCCTTTGCAGAAGAAGTATGTGCTCTTAATTGCTGAGCCATCTCTCTAGCCCCCAAATATGTTTCCAAAGTTAGAATGCAGTACATTTTCCTGTTTTATGTGATAATTTACATCAGTGATTAACAGATTGCTGTATATTTTATTTGAATACTGGACAGCACCAGAACTGTTACAGAAAGGAGTATTTTATTACTTGTAATAAAATAAATAAGCTTGTTTTCAAATAAATTTTCTCTTGTTTTACAGACTTTGTCCATTGGTGTTCTTGATATTTTTGGTTTTGAAGATTATGAAAATAATAGTTTTGAGCAGTTCTGTATTAATTTTGCTAATGAACGTTTACAGCACTACTTTAACCAGCATATCTTCAAGTTGGAGCAAGTGAGTATCTAAATATGTGTATGTTTGCCCTTCTGCCCAAACTTTTGAATATTTGTCATAACTTTTGCAGTTTGCATTTTTTATTATTACTATCATTAAGAGATTTTCTATTCATTTTACATACAAACCACATATTCCCCTGTCCTCCCTCCTCCTGTCCCCACAGCCTTCTCCTCCAACCCACCCCCGATTCTCACCTTCTCCAAGGCAAGGTCTCCCATTGGGAGTCAGCAGAGCCTGGTACATTCAATTGAGGCAGGTCCAAGCCCCTCCTCCCTGCACCAAGGCTGCGCATAGGCACTAGGCTCCAAAAAGCTGGCTTGTGCACTAGGGATAGGTCCTGATCCCACTGCCTAAGGGCCTTCTAAACAGTGCAAGCTAAACAGCTGTCTTTCCTATCCAGAGGGCCTAGTCCAGTACTGTGGGGGCTCTTCAGCTATTGGTCCACAGTTGATGTGTTTCCAATAGTTTGGCTAGTTTTCTCTGTACTTTTTCCCATCATGGTCTCGATGTCCCTTGCTCATAGAATCCCTCCTCTCTCATCAATTGGACTTGGCCTGGCACCCGGCCGTAGATCTCTACATCTGCTTCGATCAGTCACTGGATGAGGGCTCTATGATGACAGTTAGGGTATTCAGCCATCTGGTCACCAGAGTAGTCCAGTTCAGGCACCCTGTCGACTACTGCCAGTAATCTAAGATGAAGTCATCCTTGTGGATTGCTGGGAACCTCCCTAGCAATGTTTCTCCCTATTCCCATGATGTCTTCATTTATCATGGTATCTCTTTCCTTTCTCTCCCACTCTGTTCCCGTTCCAGCTCGAACCTCCCATTCCCCTATGTTCTTATTTCCCACCCCTTGCCTTCCATTACCCCCCTTCCCCCCAGTTTTCTCATGTAGATCTCATCTATTTCTCCTTCACTGGCTGACCCATATGTCCTTTCTAGGGTCCTCCCTGCTAGCTAGTCTCCTTAGAACTGTGGGTTGCAGTCTGGTTATCCTTTGCTTTACATCTAGCAGTCTGGTTATCCTTTGCTTTATATGTAGTATCCACTTATGATTGAGTACATACCATGTTTGTCCTTCCGAGTCTGGTTTACCTCACTCAGGATGATGTTTTGCACTTTTATTCAGATAGTATGGTGGTCATATTGCTCACTATAAGGAAATGACAAATCAGAGCAAAGATTTTCAGCCGTGTCATACAGACGTTTCTTACTTTTTCAGTAGTTGCTAGGTATCAAACCCTAGTCCTCTGCAAGTGTAGCAAGTACACTTAACCACTGAGCTATCTCACCAGCCCCATCAAGAAAATTTTTACATAGAGCAATTCATTTATTCTAAACTAAAAGTCTGTAAAATTTTTCTAAATTAAGGGGAATTAAGACAAGATGTGTTGGGGCTAGAGAGATAGTTTAGTGAAAACAGCACTGGCTCTTCTTCCAGAGGACCCAGGTTCAAGTCTTAGGACTCATGGCAACTCACAGCCATGTACTCTAGTTGCTGAGGATTTAATAGCCTCTGTTCTCTTCTGGCCTACATGGGCTCCAGGCACACGTAGGGTTCACAGACAAACATGACATTCAGGCAGAACATCCATGTACATAAAAGAGAAAATTTAAGAGAAATAAAAGATGTCTCTTTGGTGCAGGCTCCTTAATGAACCAATTGTAGAAAGCCACCATTACTAGACACTTAAAACTAGTAGATTAACCTGTAATTACAGGGTTTAATGAGTTTGGCACCTGGTATGAGCTTTGAATGTACTTGATACAAGAGTGACACTACTCAGAACCTCTTCTCACAGATGCCCAGCAGAGGTGAAGCAGGGAAACTTAAGTCTGCTTAATGTAGATTCTACCCCTTCTTAGAGTTCTGTTCATGGCTCCTCCATACCACAGTGATAGAGAGGTAGTCTAGGTTATTTTTTTGAACCATTCTTAGGTGCCCAATAACTTGAGGACTGTTGATAAAAGTATTGCTACCAACCCTCCTGCTACTAGGCACTTTGGACACCATCTCCCTAGCACTCTTTTCACCTGGAGCAATTAGGTGTGTGGACCCCAGGTCATCCATTTTATGCCCACTGGTGTGTGTCTTGGCAGTCTGGCAGGCACAGTTCTCTATGTGAACATCTTGATGTCAACAGGACCCATGAGAATAGTCCCACATATGTGACAAATTCTCCCATCCCCACTCAGTGAGGTTAAAGGAAATACTCATTCAGTACCATATCCCTGACTGGTCTGGTTACAGGTATAGGAGGAATTTCTCAGTAGAAAGAGATTTTGGAATTGCCTCCTGGTGTATTCAGGACCTTGTAGGAATGAGGTCATGGTCCCAGCCTGTGCTCATGGCTTGTCTATTGTAAGTGTTGTCTCAAATATTTTGTTGTGGTCTATATCTCTTGAGCTGCCTTTTTCACCCTACTCTTCTCAGGGCAAGGAGCTTGTTGCAGCTTTAAGGTCAGGTTCAGTCTTCAACTTTCCCCAGTAAAATGCAATCCTTGTGCTTGTTTTGGTATGCCAGAGGTGCAGTGGCAGTGACTGAGGGCCCAAGAATGTCACTGCCATATCACCAAGTAGGCTCAGATATTGTTGAGCCTGTACAGGAGTTGATTCATCATAGATACCAGCCACATCCTTTACATTTCTGGAGGATTTATCCTCTTGGGTACTATTTGAGGTCCTTCAGTTGCTTCACAACTATTAGATACCACCCTGTTTGGCTTGCTTGAAGGAACAGCTACTTCGAAAAAAAACTTCTTGATTCTCCTCCAAGGGCCTTCATGTCAGGGGTTTAACCAACAGTCCTTACCATGGAACACGCCATCACTACCTCATATCCCTTATTTATTTATTTGTGTGTGTGTGTGTATATGTGTATAACAGCGATAATTTTTTTCAGAGGAAACAATGGGAGACAGAAGACGATAGGATATTTTTTCTTAAAACTAAAGCTTATTTAGGCCTGCTTATTAGTTGTATTGTTGTTATAACACAAATGTTCAAAGTGGAATGAAAAACAGTAGAATAATAATAATTATTATTATTAATTATTATTTTGGTTTTTCGAGATAAGGATTCCCTGTGAAGCTCTGGCTGTATTGGAACTCATTATGTAGTTCAGGCTGGCCTCAAACTCAGGAATTTGCCTGCCTCTGCCTCCCAAATACTGGGATTAAAGGTGTGTGCCACCACCACCAGGCTGTGAAATTATTTTTTTAAAGTATGTGATTATAAATGAGTATATTACTAAATTTGACAAAGATAGGGACTTTTCTAGTTTAATATTTAAATAGAATTAATATACATACGGAAAATAGCATATGCATAAGATTGTGACATCTTTGTATTAACTGGTAAGTTATAGAAAATTTTATTTGTGTTAAACATTGAGAGTTAAAGATGTATGCTACAATTTCTAGAATATGCACAAAATAGCAAATGAATATAAAATCTTTTCCAAATTAATGTAGATTATAAGTAAAGCAAAAATAACCCAGCCAATCCAAAGACTAACAAAAGGAAGTATAAAAGAAGTGCCTGGAAACTGGGGCATGTGGCACATATCTGTAGATCAGCTGTTTGGAAGGCCCTGGGCAACAAAATGAGAAGCAATGCCAAGAAAACAGGATAAATGCGCAAAAGAAGAAATAGTAAGGTACCAGGGAGTACATTAAGCATAAATGAATTGATTGCTTTAGTAGCTGAAAATCATCAGACTCATGAATAGCAAAGTTTATCAGAGGCATTCCAAATATTATACACAAAGCTAAAAGTAAAATGGTATAAACAAAGGTTTATAAAACATTAACAAAAAGTGTTTGTAGCTCTATTAGTGAGTATAAAAGGGAATATTTCATAATGCTAAGAAGATCAGTTCTTTTTGTGTATTTGTTTGTTCTTAAGACAGGATTTCTCTGCCTAACCCTGGCTGTCCTGGAACTTGCTCTTTAGACCAGGCTGGCCTTGAATTCAGAGATCCACCTGCCTCTGACTCCAAGTATTGGGATTAGCATGTCTATAGTCCCAAAATTATGGGTATCTGATAAGATAGTTTCAAAATACATGAAGCAAAAATTAATAAAACAAATCAGGAATATAGATTTGCATCTGTAAATGCAATATTTTAACTTTGTATTTTGAATAACTTAATAGAACCAACATTCCAAACAGAAGAAAGGCTATAAAAGCACTATTATAGGCTATTAAAGCATCAATAAAAATCAGTTGGTACTTTTGTGTGTATCTCATTGCTATCTGCCTTGTGTATCAGTATGCCAGTTTCTCTGAACTTAACTGATTATTGAGACCCAGTTAATGAAATGATATGAAGAATACTAAACCCCATCTGAAGAATACATTTTTTCTAAGTTCACATGGGGTATTTACAAAATTAGTGCTTATGTTGTTTTGGACCATAAAGCAAGGGTCAGCTTTCCATGAATTAACACATATTTTAGTACTATAATAAAATTACAAGCTGGACGGTGGTGGTGCATGCCTTTAATCCCAGTACTTGGCAGAGTAGGGAGGATCTCTGAGTTCAAGGCCAGCCTGGTCTACAGAGCAGAGTTCCAGGACAGCCAGGACTACCCTGTCTTGAAAAAGAAACAAATAAAATAAAATTATTGTAGAAACTAGTAAATAACGAGAACAGAAAGTACATGTAGAGATAAAAGTTAAGCAATGTCTCTTTAAGGCTAGAGATATAGTATACTGGAAAAACACTTGTTAGCATTTGTTGAGATTCCTACAGTTCAGTACTCACTGCTGCCAAACAACACCAAAAATTAAAAACCAGGTAAATATGTTTCTTAGTAGTTTAGAAATTAATAAAAGAGAAACTAGCTACAGCTAACCAGCATGCTGTGTTAATGTTATAGTTAATTTTATACCTGTTAAGACATTTTCATGTTAAGAATCAGTGATCGCCCCTAAAACCTTAGAAAATGATCAGTAAATGAAGTCTGGGAAATAATTCCATTTCTTTCTTCTTTCTTCTTTCTTCTTTCTTCTTTCTTCTCTCTCTCCCTCCCTCCCTCCCTCTCTTTCTTTTTGTTTTTTGGTTTTTCAAGATAGGGTTTCTCTGTGTAGTTTTGGTTCCTATCCTGGATCTCGCTCTGTAGACCAGGCTGGCCTCGAACTCAGAGATCTGCCTGCCTCTACCTCCTGAGTGCTGGGATTAAAGGCGTGTGACACTGTGCATGGCTATAATTCCATTCTTAATTATCTCAGATAAAAGAAAAATACCCTGGAATAAACCTAACTAAGGAAGTGAAAGACCTATACAATGAGGCCTTGAAAACAATGGAGAAAGAAATTGGAGGCACTTGAAGATGGAATGATCTTTCATGATCATGAATTGGAAGAATTACTATTGTAAAAAATAGCTATTCTGGGGCTGGAGAGATGGCTCAGAGGTTAAGAGCACTGGATGCTCTTCCAGAGGTCCTGAGTTCAATTCCCAGTAACCACATGGTGGCTCACAACCATCTGTAATGAAATCTGGCACCCTCTTCTGTATACATAATAAATAAATAAATCTTTAAAAAAAATAGCTATTCTGTCAAAAGTATGATACAAATTCAGTGCAGTCCCCATCATTATCACTAGTCACAGAAATAATCCTAAAGTTCACATGGAAGTGAAAAAAGACCCTAAGTAGCAGGAATGGTCCTGACCACAAAGAATGATGTAGAAGCTACCACTAGATCTGAGTTCAAGTTATAGTAAAGAGTCATAAACATTTAGATCGGTGTAATAGGCTAGATGACCCAGATAAAACACGTGTGACTGCAGCCTAGTTAACAGAAAAACAAAAAACAAAAAACCTTTGTTATATGCCTGTTATTTTCTGCAAAATAAATAAGTTGATATTTTGTTACTTGTTTTTTTTTCCAGGAGGAATATAGAACTGAAGGTATCAGTTGGCACAACATAGATTATATTGATAATACTTGTTGCATAAATCTTATTAGCAGAAAACCAACAGGACTGCTCCATCTTTTGGATGAAGAAAGCAAGTGAGTATAGTGCTTTTCAATTTCATGATTGACCATTGTACTTTTTGAATGGCTTCCCCTTCATTTGAGGCAGAACCTCCTTCACTGTGGAACTGTGGCCAGGCTGGGACTAGGACCACTGCAGCCCCAG